TGCATTTCCTTTTGATTAACTCAGCAGAAGGATGACAAGGAATGTAGTTACTGTCTGGTGAAACATCACCAGGGCCTGGAGCTGTTAAAATGCAGCTGTGTTCGTTTTCCCACTTCAGAAAGTCATTTTGTAACACCTTTTTTCACTCAGCAGTGAATGACTGCCACTGGTCTCCACGGTACTGAGAATGGCACCAGCTTGTTTTTCATGCTCCAACAGCAGTGGCAGAAGATGAATCCTGCACACCCAGAGCTCCCCCAGGCTGCAGGCACGTTGCTTTGCTGGTATCATTCCAGTTGCAGTGGAAGGGAGAAAGGGTGGCTTTACATTCGGGATTTTCCATATTGCGTACCTGGCCTTAAATAGGATCTATGTCCTGAATTTTGGCAATTAAGCCTTTGGGGAACACAAAGATAGTGCCATAAGTAATGCCCTTTCTGGTTACACTTCACAGCATGCTAGTTTGGTTGAACAGCCTTGCTGAGGAACAAGACTGAGCTGTGGAGAAACCTGGCTTTGTGTTATGGGTAAGTCCATGGCAGAGGCAGCTTCTATCCTGGCTACAGGACACACTTTCTCTTGGGCATTTTTAATACCTTAAGCAGTGGGGCACGGTCAGATTCATTCAGGGGGTGATTGCCACTGATGTGCTTCTTAGATATTATTCCTATGCAATGAGCCCTAGGAAAACATACCTGAATCCCTGCTTTATGTACTAGTCCCACAGAGAGCTTTGACTGGAACACAGGGAAAAGTGAGAGTTCATCATCTTTGGAAAAAGGCACAGGCAATTCACAACTATGAGGATTTTGTGAGGTTATCTAGGGGTAAAATTAGAAGGGACAAAACCCAAGTTTTATCTGGCTACTGGAGTGAAATCATAGAATCATAGAACAGCTTGGGTTGGAAGGGACCTTAAAGATTATCCAGTTCCAACCCCCTGGCTGTTGGCAGGGACACCTCCTACTAGACCAGGTTGCTCAGGGCCCCATACAACCTGGCCTTGAACCTTTCCAGGGATGGGGCATCCGCAACTTCTACGGGCAACCTGTTCCAGTGCCTCACCACCTTCACAGTAAAGAATTTCTTTGTAGAAACTTGTAAAAACCAATAAAAATATTTGTGTAAATATACCAGCAACAAAAGGAGGGCTAAGGAGAATCTCCATCCTTTATTGGATGTGGAAGGAAATATAGGACAAAAGATGAGGAAAAGACTGAGATACTTAATGCCTTCTTTGCCTCAGTCTTTAAAAGTAAGACCAGTTGTCCTCCAGATACCTGGGCCCCTGAGCTGGAAAACGGATGAGGAGCAGAAGAAGGCCCCCATAATTCAAGGGGAAATGGTCAGTGACCTTCTACACCACTTAGACACATGCAAGTCAATGGGGCCAGATGGGATCCATCCAAGGGTACTGAGGGAGCTGGCAGAAGAGGTCATCAAGCAGCTTTCAATCATTTATCATCAGTCCTGGTTAACTGGGGAGGTTCCAGGTGACTGGAAGTTAGCAGCTGTGACTCCCATCTACAAGAAGGGTCAGAAGGAGGATCGGAGGAACTACAGGTCTGTCAGCCTGACCTCAGTGCCAGGGAAGGTCATGGAGCAGATCACCTTGAGTGCCATCACACAGCGCGTGCAGGACAAGTAGGGCATCAGACTCAGCCCACATGAGTAGGCAGGTCCTGCTTGACCAACCTGATCTCCTTCTATCATAAGGAGACCCTCTCAGTGGATGAGAGAAAGGCTGAGGATGTTGTCTACCCAAACTTTAGTAAAGCCTTTGACACCATTTCCCACAGCAGTCTCCCCGAGAATCTGGCTGCTCATGGCTTGGATGTGCACACTCTCCCCTGGGTAAAAACCTGTCTGGATGGACAGGCCCAGAGAGTGGTGGTAATGAATGGAGTTAAATCCAGCTGGCAGCTGGTCACAAATGGTGTTCCCCAGGGCCAGTTTGGGTCAGTCATATTTAATATCTTTATTAACGGTCTGGATGAGGGGACCAAGGGCACCCTCAGTCAGTTTGCAGATGACACCAGGTTGGGCAAGAGGGTACTGGAGCGTAGGAAGAGTCTTTGTTTTCAAGTATGCAGTCTCAATTAGACCTACGTTTGTGTTTTTAAGGTATTTAGTGCCTACCTTCCCTTGAAAGTAATGGGAATAAGACTCTATAAGCCCTCTAAGCACTTTCAGTCCTTGACCTTAAGCTATGTCTGTGAATTTAGGTGCTTTTGACAAGAAAGTTGAGACCAGGGGATCCTTGAGGTCCTCTTCCAACTTGATATTCTGTGATTTATCTAAGCTAATAAAAAAGATGAAAGCCAGAAGTGGGTTAACTCTCTCAACTGACTTCAGCCTTTCTGCAAACACTACCTTTGCTCCAGATGAACACTTTGACAGCTTTTGAGCTGAATTAAATCACTTGATTGGGGGGTAGAACATTACAAGGCCTTGCTGTAATATGAACAATTTCCATTGAAATTTGTTTAAGGATACCATTTTATCTGATTGTAAGTTTGATTGTCAGGATTGTTAGTAGGGTACCTAAGGCCTTGTACAGGCATTCTTTGTTATTTGTTTTAAGCTTATGGAACACGTTAAAAGAGATCTGCCTTTCCCTTTTCCATTGAGTGCAGAGGCGTTTTTCCTTTTGTAATAATTACACTGAACTGTGTCTGTGATTGATTCTTCCGGCTTCAATCAGCTGCCATGTGGTAGTCATTGTGTTTGCAGAGCTTAGAGGCACCTTGAGTGGATTTTCAAAAGTGGTTCTGTTTGGCATCCTTCAGAACTCACATCTACAGGGATTTTACTGCTGCCTTGCCATCCTGACCTCTTGTCCTAAAATATGCTCTGTAAAACCCCCTCTTACCTCTTACTTAGGCCATAAGAAATGGGCTAATATGTTTAAGGAAGCCCAGTATGGCAACTGAAGTCTCTGTCAGAAGCAGTTTTGAAGAGAAAGCAACCAAACCAGCAAAGAGAAGCTGAACATTGTCACATTTTGCTGTAGCACTAACCTGAAGGGCTAAGCACAAACTTTCTTTGCCCTCATACACCTTGCATGCTATAGCACTGTCTACAGCTCCCGTAGTCCTTTGGGATATGTGCTTGCTGATGTGAGCACGGCAGAAAGTTTCTGGGTGCTGGCATCCATAGTTATGAGTTGTGCTGTAGTTTCAGGCTTTCTGAGGTGCTGCAAGTGCTAGAGGTACCTCATCAACATGATAAATGCAGGCAATTTATCTACAACAGCACTTGTTTCAACGGCTTTTCTCCTTCCTTCCCCAGTGGGTGGCAGATTTGGAAGTATTTGTCTTGTGGTTTGAGTTGTGGCTCAGAATTACTCATAGCTGTGTTGTAAAATCTTATCTATGCCTTTCAACAGTAAAAAATCTTGCAAACTAGTGGGAAGTGCTAGAGGTAGGGGTTACACACCAGTCTCCAGTATCATTAGCCCAGTGCTCCTGCTTAAATCCAGATATGTCTGTATTGAAAAGGAACAAACTATTCTAACCCTTTTTTTTTTTTTTTGGTAGCTTTTGGGGCAAGTCCTGTATGATGTTACAGCTCATTGTTATCAAATGTATGGAGTGGTGCTCCTGCTGCAGTGGCAGCCCTGAGTTCAGTGGGAACAACTCTGAGGCACTGTCCCACGTCCAACAGCAAGTGGGCACGGTGAGAGGCTGGCCTCTGCTGCCATGCCCAAACAGCCATGGGGAAAGCAGCTGCTGGGGTAGAGATATTCTTCCCCCATGCTGCTGACAGCAGTCTTCCTCCAGCATTTGGACTTTATGGCCATTATTTTGACAGAATGTGGAAAACGCATAGCTTGAACATCTGTTTATGTTGCTCTAACACCACCTGACTCGAACAGTTTGGTATCAGGACCCCCTGTAGGCAGGGCCATGCCAGGGATTGGTGGCTGTCACTTGCACTAGCAGTGTTGTTTTTCCATGTAGGCTCCTGATGCTGCAGGGACATGCACCGGCAGCTGTGTCAGGCCCAGTGACCAGCAGCACCTCGAGTAGACTCTCATCTGCAAAGAGCCCGTCAGCCCCTCTGCCCCCACCATGGCAGCACAAGGTGATTTCGCCGCAGACAGAGGGCTGCAGCAGAATGGAGACTTCTTCAGCCAGGACTTCTTGCAATCTCTTTCCTGCAGCCTCTGCCTGGAGGACGTTTGCCTGCAGCGATGGTGCCGACGCCCAGGAATACTGCTGGGCTCAGGGAGACAGAGCATGCACAAAAGCTGCATTCAAAGTGTTGATCGCGAGACCTGGGAGATGCTGGCAAGTGCAGCAGCAGCTATTCTTCACGCCGTGCAAGTGAGAGCCCAGTCTTGGAGGCTGGGGAATAGGGAAGAGATTGGCCAGGACAAGGGACAGGGAAATACGCTGTGTATAATTTTGAATTTTCAGGAACAGACAAGATCAGAAATTTTTTGATGCGGATCATGTTTATGTTGTGTTTGGGTGCCTGTGCAGTAAAGAAAACAGGGAATAAATCCATGTCACAATGAAGGAGAACATTTGGATGGCCAGTTTGCACCCTACAGATACATTAATCATATAGGCCCACTGAATACTGGGGACATCAAATGCAGAGTGCAAAGCCTCTTTTAATTATAACACCTGCTCGTTTCCCAGCACTTCCTTTGCAGTTAAGAGAAATAATAAAAAATAACCAAAACAAAACCAACAAAACCAAAACCAACCAAACAAACAAAAACCCAAACCCCCCACAACCCTGACAAAACCCAACCCAGACGTGAGTGGGAATTACAGAAGCAAAGGGCTGGAAAACTAGCTTTGGAAAGCATCTGCTTCCCCGACAGTGTCAAACTCCCTCGAGCCCCTGCCTGCGAGGGGCGCAGGCTGCCTTTTTTTTTGCCCCCCTGGGGGAAGGGGGTCGCGTTGGGATGGTAGGGGTGGGTGGCGGATCGAGGGGGATAGAATGGGGTGGGGGGGGGCGGGACGGCGCGGGGGGATTCCGCCGGGATGCAAATGACAGAACGTTGCGCGGCCCGGGACGCCGGGGCGTCCCACAGGGGCGCCCCGCGCAGAGGTGTTTGCAGGTGAGGGGGGCCACGGACCCATTGGGCGGGGGAAAGACGTGGCCGGCTTGGCCCCCTTCCCTGGTCCGCTGCCGGGACTGGAGGGTCAAAACCCCCGGTCCTTTCCTTATTTTAACTAGGTTTTTGCCCAAAAGCCCCGCCGTTTGCTGGCCTCCGCTGGGAGCGGTTCCCAAACCCCAAACGCAGGCACCCAGAGGGCTCTGCAGTTCGGAAAGCCTCGGGTCCGAACATACGGTTTGGTGGCAACGGACGGACCACTGAAGGTGAGGATAGAAAGGAGCTGAACATGCAGTGGTGGCCTCAGCCAAATGAAAAAAAAAAAAAGCCCAAAAACCCCAAACCCACCAGATTTCAGGGAGAAATGGTCCGTGGATGTCAGTGCTGGCTCTGTGTCAGAGTAGGTGGCTGACAGCCACAGGATGATCCTCCAGGCATACACATGGCATCACATCTTTCTATCATTAGTTCATTATGCTTTCTCCTTTTCAACAGTAGCCAAATCACTAGTACCGCCAGCCAGGACAGGGACTGTGGCTCAGCTGGCCACAAATGGGACATGGTAATGATATGTAAGGTCTGTTTCTGTCTTTGCTATCATTGTCCGGTCTCGCTATAGGTAAATTTCCTGTTCTTCTTCTGCTTGCTCATCATACCACACCTTGAAGATGGTATGGTGCTGTAAAAACACCAGCAAGGTCTGCCTGCTTGCTGAGATGTCTTTCTGGTTTCCAGAAATAGCAGTAGCACCCTGTAGGTATTTACTGGTAGCCTTCACAGAGGCCGCCTCAAATGGGAATCTTTTTTCCCCTCTTACCAGTGGAGCCTTCCATCTCCTCTCCTGGCTTGCTAGCTCAGTCCTGTTCACAGGAATTAAACTGATGCTAGTTGCATGAAAAACTAGAAAAAACCTGATCTCCTAAGTGATCAAAAGAACCCTTAAATGTCTCACCCATTAGATGGGTTGATTGGAAAGGTGTGAGGTCAACTCACTTCCTCCCTTTTACCTGGTCTGCAGCCTCTTCTCAGTCCATGTTAAAAACCCCGATGAAGAAGCGAAGGGGTTTATGGTGTGTGGCAAGACCTGGGAAACCTCCATACCCAAGTGCCCTCGCTCCCCTGTTTGGCTGCAAGGCTGGTGTGTGGAACCTCGGCACTGGCAATGGAGGTCACCGCTCCCACCTCGCTCACGGGGCCTTGACCCAGGACCCTCGAGAGAGGGAGGTGAGCAGCACTGCCCCCAGAACCACTCCTGGCCAGGACAAGGGGAAGACTGAGCATCTGGTAGCCTCCCAAAGAGGTAAGGCGGGAACTGTCCCTCTCTGTGGTGGGAGGAAGGGTCTTTTGCCATCCTAGAGAGCCCGTGCACATTCCCAGTGAACAGTTCTCCCCTGCACGTGCCCCCCTGCAGTAACCTGTCCTGCCAGGTTGTTCCTCTGTGGAAGTGGGTCAGAGTTGTCCACTGGCCTGCTTGGGGTGGCTGCCAGCATGAGCATGTTTCCCTGTGCAGTTATTTAGAAGTTTCCAAGAAATCTGTCCAATGAAGTCTGTAGCTTCAGATGCTTTAGGTTTGCAGAGCAGCCTCTGTTATGCTTTATGTCTCCACTTTGCAGGCCTGACTGACTGCAGTGATCCCAAGGAGTCAGTGGTTTCCCTGTCAACTTCCCAGATGCTCTTACCCTCCAAGCCCTTGCCTCCCATCCAGAACAGCCCTCCTTCCTTGGAGCCCAGCAAGATGTGCAACAGAGAGCAGGAGCATGGGGAAAATGGCCCAGGCTGTGATGACAGTGAGAGTAGTAACAAGGAGGTGATAACAGAGGAAAGAGAATGCCAGGTAAGGAAAACAAGCCAAATCCTGTGTGGTCAATTTTCAGTTTATGCCATGTAGGCAGAGTTCTGAGGTCTTCTTTCCCTATGGTGTAAGTCAATGGAAGCAGCTGAGCCACAGAAGAGCTCAGAGGGACATCACACTTCAGGCTGTCTTTGCAGTGTGTGTGCTGCAGAGTTCGTCCCCTGCATTGACTTGTATCAATAGATATTGCTATCGATACCAATATGTTGTGGTTACAGTTCCAGACACTCCAGTGTCTTAGTGGTGTTTTATATCAGCTCTGTCTGGTTTTGATGGAAAAAATATTTGCTGGAGCAGGCAGTCCTGCAAACTCAATTCTAGGTTGCCTCAGCTTTTGAGTTGTACAGCCATGGCTTTCTGCACAGTTGTCTCTAATAATATTTCTAGACTTCATCAGCTTCTGTGCAGCTTTGTCCTCTGCCATGGGTCTGTCCAGAGGTAAGTGATGGCAGGTGGCCATGGGGAGTGCAGTCCAAACCCCATCCACATGACTGGGGATCCCTTTGCAAGAGGGACAGGAGCTTCAGTTATTTTGGATTTGGTGTGGTGTGCAGGAGAAAGCAGGTGAACAGCAGCTTTTTTAAAGAGAATAACCAATAAAAAGCCTTGTGTACTTGATTTCAACCTTGCTGATAAAGGGCCAAATGTATCCCTGACATTAGCTGATCATTTCACTGAAGTTTGACCAGGTCCCAGTTTGGCTCTTTAGCTCTGCCAAAAATGATGGGATACTAAGGAAGGGTGTGCATCTGCCCCTGCTCCCTCCACCCTCCTTCCTAGCCATGGTGTGGGGGGCCTGAAGCAACTAGAGCAGGCAGAGACCTTACACAGAGCAGCAGGGCAAGGAGCTCTGCTGAACTTAATAAATGACAGCGAGCCTGTGAAGATGAATTGTGTGGGATCTGGAGAGCACTGAGCATGCAGAGAGCACATTAGCATCTGGGATGAAAGGCTGGTGGGGGGCTGTAGGGGAAGGGCAGAAGCAGAAAACATTACAGGCTTGAGAAAAGCAGTTTTTGACATTGTGCAGAATGATTTTATGGGGACTTGGCAGGAGATCAGCAATAGCTGGTAGGTGCTTTAGGGACAGTGAGAGGATAGTGACCTAAATCCATTCCCATACCATCCAAAAGGCCAAGAGAGGCAGTGGCACCTCAGAATATCTTTATGCCAAGCATGTGGATGCCAGATGGTAATGCAGATGGTAATGCCAGAGAAGCGAGTGAGGGAAGAGAGCTGGCAAATTTGAGACAGAGTCTCTCCCTCACCACTTCCCTTTCCATTGCCCATCCTGGGCCAAGCTGCTCCATCAGTTTGACTTTTCTTTTCCTGCCAAGTCCTAGCTGAAAGCATGGCTAAACTTCTTGTGACATCAAAGGGGAAGGGCTGGGTGCTTGAGCTGAGCACTGTGTTCTACTGTTTCCAGGCTTCCCTGCTGCCTGTGCATTGCAGTGGTGGGGATATGAAGAAAGGGCCATTGGGACCGTCTTTGATCCCTCCTATACCTAAGTCAGTAAGTCCACCTCTTGGCAGTGCTGCAGTGTCTCTCCCAAGCTCTCAGCACCAAGAGGCCCAGGACATGAGGTAAGCCAAGGTGTCTGCTGCTCCAATATGTTGTTCACCTTGCACTTTTCATCTCGTGAGGTTTTTTTTCCACAGTCAGCTCTCCAATGTATTTACACAAACCTCTGTGTATTCACCATTTTGCCTGTCTATAATGATTCAGCACTATGTCAAAACCAACACCATACACTCTAAGAGCAGAGGTGATGGTGGGAAAGAGGAGGCAGGACTTAAGAGGACCTTAAAACAGGTCCTCTGTTAGACTCAGCTACCGATTCCCTCTATAATCTTTGTAGTGTCGTTTGGGAACTGTATTGCATGGATCTGAATGCAGCACTTGGTTTTGTGTGTGATCTTTGACTGTCAGTTTCTGCAAGAATATTTTAGGGCAAATACTGGCTATTGTAGAGCTGTCTGCAAATTCAGATGCTGCTTCTGTAAATGTCAGTCATAACTTCTCTGTGTCTGGGCCTCCACTGTGAGATGAGAGCCAGATAAATTTTGGTTTATGGATGTATAATCCTGTAGATGTTTAATATTTACATAAGGTTTTAAGATCAAAGAGGGCAAGGTGTTAGAGAACAGTTATAGGACTGTAACTGATGGAAAGATATTTTCTTGGGTATGCATGAGGAAATCTAGCTGTCAACCTTATCCTAGTTATAACAATAAATAACGAGTCACGGAAATATCAGTCCAATTTAAAAGCTTCAGTATGGCTTTTAAAGTGCAATCTGAATATACTTACCTGCCAACTGAGTTGGAAAAACCCTTTTTCTTCTTGAAAGAGCAAGGAGGTGTAATATTATCCTCGGGAGACAGCACTGGTATTACAGTGTGTAGCAAGATGCTGTCATCAGTTTAAGGCATGACCAGGCAAAGTTAAGCTTCTGCAGCAGTACAAAAGTAGCTGCCCTCAATACAGACTTATGACTGCCTTAACATCTTTTACTGGTTCAGAGAGGCTGTACATACCAGTAAGAGCCACTTAACTCCAAAAGGAGAGACAGCAGAATTGGATAGTTATGACACAGACTGAAGAATGGCTCCAGTGTTTCAGCTGGGGCTTGATGAGCTCTGTCTGACTCCAGCAACTGAAAGGTTAATGACAATTAATCAGCTTTGTGTATTGTTGGTTTTATGTGTTGCATTTTCTCCTTCATCAGAATGACCATGCTGAGAAAGTCTGTGTCCTTTAATGTTGCGCCCATTCCCCCACCTTCTCATTTTATCTCCTCATATGTTCTTTTATCCTCAATTTTCTCAAGGCTAAGATCAATCAGCAGAAATGAAGAGAAGAACTTTAAATATCTAGGTAGGTACAGGGCATGTCTGTCCTAAAATGACCATGGGAATCTGAAAGTTTGCTTGAAAACTATCCTGTAACTTTTTTCAGCTCCTTGATGGGCTCAGACGACTCCCCCAGAACCCAGTCACTGGGAAATGTGCTCTGGTGATGCAGTGAAAATTATTCCAGACTGAAGTGTAGAATGGCAGGAGCTGGAGGGGTATCTTGGGGCCCTGGAAATGCACATCAGAAAAAGAAAACATTCCTCTACATTGTGTGCATACCTTTTATCTCCCTGCACAGTTTCTAATGTCACAATTATTAGAGAAAAAGGCATTTAGCATGAAATGAGAAATGTTCCCACTCCTTCCTCATACACTTGAAGGAGAAAACTTTCCCTTGGGGCAGATCCTGAGCCGAATCCTTTGAGAACTGAAGTAGATTCATCAACATTGCCTGTTTTTGCACTGGGAGAAATAGTGAAATCTCCTGTGATAGAAAGACCTTGTAAATTTTCCATTTACAGAGAAAGAGACTTAAAAAAGGATCCAGCCTATGCAGGATCTGAGTTTTTCATCCTCTTAAAGCACAAACCTAAATTAAATGCTGAGGTTTCCTTTGTGCAACTCATTTACCTCAAACCACATATACCAGGTTCATGATTACAAATCTTTTTCCCTGCCCTATCTGCCTGTGGCAGCATTGCAAAGTGAGGCTGGGCTAGGAGATGCCTTATGGCTTGCCCTCCCCTCCCTGCATTGCCTTATCACTAGGAATAAGAATTCTACAAGACAGAATGCAGTGTCTGGTGCATCTGTGTCAGCCAATACTTTCAAGTTGAAAACCTCAACGACACCGTTGCTGTCCTTTTGCCTCCTGATGGTTTATAGTGATAGGAGAGAGGAGAATTGAACAAATAATTTTGCTGATGCAGAAAAAGGGATAAGATCCACTGGTCCCTCGGCTCAGTGTTAGTTCTGCCAATAATGGGCATGTCCCTTCAGAATGATTCCTTTATTGCTGATATGCAGCTAGAATACTGAATGCAACTAGGGAGAAATGTTGCTGAGTAAGTAAGGTGACATTTTTGCAGGATACATTCTGGACTAGAAATGAGCTATATCGTTAAACCTTATCTGTCTCTCTTTTATTATTGACCTGACCATTCCACAGGGAAAAAAAAATCCTGATTTAAGGAAGTTATTCCTCTTTTATGGTTTGGCTGCCACATGATTTTATCATCTGTGAAGCCATGTAAAGAATGATTAGTTCTCTGAGTTTTAACAGCTCTGTTGGAGAGTATTTCAGAAGGAGCTGCCCTGTGCTATTTCTATTAAGAAATTTTGAATTTTCAGGAAAAGCCAAGATCACAAATTCTTTGAGGCAGATCATGTTTATCATGGGTTTGTGAGTCTTTCCAGTAAAGGAAGCAGGGAATAAGTCCCTCTAACAATGAAGCAGAACAAAAGTACAATGTTTGGGTGGCCAATTTGCACCCTACAGATATAGGCCCATTGAATACTGGGGACATCTAGTGCAGAGTGCAAAGCTTCCTTTCATTAGAATACCTGGTGATATGGTTTGTGTCCTAGTACTTCTTTTGTTGTGAAGAGAAATAAAAAGCCCCAACAAAACCCAGCCCAAAATTCAATGGGAATTACAGAAACAAAGGACTTAAACACTAGCTTTGGAAAGCATCTACTTCCTAGACAGTGTCAAATTCTAGAGACCATTGTGCGTTGCCTACTGTTTGGAAGGAAAGAGATCCTGTAATCGTGGATGGGCAAATAGCAACACATAAGCAAATTAGTAGAATCTCTCTCCTGGCTTGCTAGTTCAGTTCTGTTAAAAGGAATTAAACTGATGCCAGTTTCGTGAGAAATAAAAACTGATCTTCTGAAATGAATGATTAAAAAAACCCTTAAATGCCTTACCCATTAGGTGTGTTCGTTGTAAAGGAGTGAGGCCAACTAACTCACTTCCTCCCTTTTACCTGGTCTGCAGCTTCTTCTCAGTCCATGTCAAAAAAACAGATGAAGAGGACAACAGATTCATGGTGTGGGGAAGGACCTGAGAAACCTCCACACCCAAGTACCCTCATTCCCCCATTTGGCTGCAAGGCTGGTGTGTGGAACCTCGGCACTGGCAATGGAGGTCACCGCTCCCACCTCGCTCATGGGGCCTTGACCCAGGTTCCCCTAGAGAGGGAGGTGAGCAGCACTGCCCCCAGAACCACTCCTGGCCAGGACAAGGGGAAGACCGAGCATCTGGTAGCCTCACAAAGAGGTAAGGTGGGAACTGTCCCTCTCTGTGGTGGGAGGAAGGGTCTTTTCCCATCCTAGAGAGCCCGTGCACATTCCCAGTGAACAGTTCTCCCCTGCACGTGCCCCCCTGCAATGACCTGTCCTGCTGTCATCCCCCATGTAGCTCCAGGGGTGTACAGCTGTGGGGCAGGGAGAGGAGCAGGAGGGTGTATGTGCAGGTGACTTACCCTTGTTAAGCACAGGTCTGTGGGCTCCCTGTTGTCCAACAGGAGCCCAGAGTCCAGGATGTTCCTCTGGTAGCTCTGTGGAAGTGGGTCAGAGTTGTCCACTGGCCTGCTTGGGGTGGCTGCCAGCATGAGCATGTTTCCCTGTGCAGTTATTTAGAAGTTTCCAAGAAATCTGTCCAATGAAGTCTGTAGCTTCAGATGCTTTAGGTTTGCAGAGCAGCCTCTATTATGCTTTGTATCTCCACTTTGCAGGCCTGACTGACTGCAGTGATCCCAAGGAGTCAGTGGTTTCCCTGTCAACTTCCCAGATGCTCTTACCCTCCAAGCCCTTGCCTCCCATCCAGAACAGCCCTCCTTCCTCAAAGCCCATATCTGTCTCTCTTTCATTATTGACCTGGTCATTCTGCAGGGTGCAAAAAATTTTGATTGCAGAAAGTTAATCTTTTTTTTCCTGCTTGGCTACCACATGATTTTATCATCTGTGAAGCTCTGTAAGGAATGATTAATTTTCTGAGTTGAACAGCTCTGTTGGAGAGTATTTTGGAATGAGCTGCACTGTGCTATTTCCATTAAGAAAATCAGCCTTTAGGCTGGTAGAAAGTGGCCTGATCTCATATAATTTAGAGTGAAAATTCTTGGGGAAAATGAATTATCTAGCTTCAAGAACACAATTCAGGTTTGGGTAACACTCTAGTGGACCTAAGCTTTTCTTTAAATGCCCTCTAAAATATTCCAACAAATATATACATCTATTAAAACGTAGGAGTTCTTTTAGTAACTGGGAAAAAGAGGATGTTTACTAAAATCAGCCTGGATAGGAACAGATAAAATCAATTTGGCAAGAACAATCTGCATCTCTTCACCCTTCTCTATCAAACACAGCTGCTCACCAGAGGCCAAGGGCTGAGGCTTTATCATGCAGTAGGTTTGAGTCTGATGGCCAACAGAGTAGTGTCATTTCAGCTGCCAGTGCAATATGGCAGTACCCCATCTGTTTGGAGAGGTTATAGGTATATGTGCCTTGCTGTTCTCATACATAATCTCTGTGTATTATGAGAGCTCTGCAATCTGGAACCTGGGTTGCCTTGTTCCCCAGTGTCACGTTTTTGGTGGCTTGAAGTCTGCTGGACATTTACATGGACTTTTGCTTCTATTAACAGGCCTCCCACTGAGACAGACCAAGGAGATGGATCATTTCATGAGTCCTCGCTTTGTGAATGATGATGACTTGAAGGACAGCAGTGGAAGGGTAAGGGCTAAGGACAGGGATGAGCAGGCTTCCTTTTCAGTGAGTGTTCAGTGCTTAGCACAAAATGTCACTGAAAATCATAATCTTCCTCTCCTGGGGGATGGGGATTCTCTTGGGAACACATTTGACAGCTACAGAGCAATTGCTTGAGTATTTTTACTGGTGCAGGTGTCACTGGTTAGGAGATGGTGCTAAGGCTGTGCAAGAAGCATTCTCTCTATGTGTGAAGGCCAATTCAGAGAAGTTTTGAATGGCAGGACAAGTTACATCAGTGAACATGTGCAAAATGCACACTTGGAAGCAGAGAAGGAAAGATTCTAATGTTGAGTGTAAGCAACATTAGAAGCAAAATAAAACAGGAGAGTTTGATTTTTCCTGGTTACCTTCTTGCTGTATCTCATAGCCCTCTCATTGTCAGTTTTTTTAATTCAGTAAGACCAATGTTTCTGCAACTTATTTTCACATGACTCCTTTTGTGGACTTGTGTTCTTGGAGAGCAGCTGAGTCCTTCAGAACCAAAGAAGTGAGAAACAACTGCAATTACTGGCCATGACTGTTAAGAAACAACTCTTATTGCCGGTTATTGCAGATGGTTTTTATTCTCCTGCCACGGCCTGTTCACCAGTAGTGTGAGCTTTTCCTATGCCTTGGAGCACTCCTATGACTTTCTCAGTTCAAGCAGGGCACCCCGACACAGATTCACAAATAGTACCTTGGACCAGTGGAAGGTTATGGCAATAAAGTGTTCCACCTCACTGTGTGTAATTGTCTAAGTGAGGACAGGAGAAATTCTTCTGAAACTATTGGGAGGTATATGGAGCTGCTTTAGAGACTATGACACTCTACCACTGTGTTCCTGTTGGGTATGGTTTGTGTATCTCTGTTTATGGTCTGAGATGTATTTCCATCGCAACTAGGTCCGTGTTGTATTATGCAAGTCAGCTGAAAAGAAAATACAACAGAGAAAAATGAGAGAGATGGAGCTTTTGGAGAAAGAGAGAGAAAAGGAAAAGTCCTTGCAGCTCCCTACACAGAGAGTTGACCCCAGGAATGCAGCTGAAGAAAGTAAGTGGTTGCTATAGTTGTGAGCCTTTTTGATCACCTGCTTTCTCTTTGCATAGTGTTGCAAAACTCTATGAAATCAGATTGGAAGGCTGTTACACTTGCTTCTGAGTGGAAGTTTGAATATGATTTATTTCCATTTTCCAAAGAAAAATACAGAGGCATGAAGTGTCTTGCCTATGGCCCTCACTGAGTTGCCACAGAATATCAGCTTCCCACCTTCACCTATAAAGTCTTTCAGAGTAGAAAACTCTGTCACGCAAACTACACAGGGGCTTCAGACTCTCTAGTTGTGAGCAGCCTCCAGAGAAGGTGAGTGGATGAGTCCAAAAGAATGCTTTCCAACCAAGGTGCAACCTGGAAGAAACAAAATTAAACTGCTTCTAATTAAAACACAAGAGATCCTGCTCGCACCGCTCCCTGCCGAGGAGCTCTCACGGTAGAGCTGTGCTCAAGCCCTGAGCCAGTGCTTATGTTTTACCCCCACGAGCAAGCAGCATTACTGACTTAATCACAGCTGACGGGCTCTGATTGCACTGCTGCGTGTGCTGCCCTGAGCGCGGCAGCAGGGAACTTGAAGAGTCAGCACTCAGCCCAAGGGCAGCGTGCAAGGTTATCTGCTCTTTTTTTTTTTTTTTGTAACTTCCCAATCCAGCCTCTGAAACAGAAAAACAAAGGGAAAGCCATGCTGAGTTTTCCTTGTTTCTTGGGGAAAGCGCCGCTGCATTTGGTTTTAAACTAAAAGAGGGTGGATTCAGACTAGATGTTAGGAAGGAATTTTTTACAGCGAAGGTGATGAAATTCTGGAACAGTTTGCCCAGAGAAGCTGTTGTTGCTCCATCATTGAAGATGTTCTGAAAAACCTGATCTAGTTGAAGATGTCCCTGCTCAGGGGAGTTGCACAACGTGGCCTTTAAAGGTCCCTTCCAACCCAAACTATTCTGTGATTCTGTGATTATGTGATCACTGTCCAATGTTAGCATGCAATTGTTATGCTTGAAGTTGTTTGGGACAACAAAGAGATGTAACCCAGCTCCAGAAAGTTTTCTAGCCCTTTCCAAGCCCATAGCCATGCTGTCCAGCACTCTTCACTTACAAGGTCCTGTTTGGTATCTGCAGGCTTTAGCCTACCACCTGTCAACGGGACCCTTTTCAATGTGCACAGAAAGCCTGCTGCTGCCTTGAAGACACGAATATTGAAGAAGCAGGTCAACGTGCCCCTAATGCCCCAGACACCCAACATCAACATGGATGGCAGCTTCCCACACAACTTCTCAGGTAAGCCTGCTCCACTGCTACCCCACGCACAAGCTTTTTCCTTGCACAAGGAGCACAAACTGCCTCTCTCCTCAGCCACAGCTGGGATCTTGGGTCCTAGACTGTCCTGAGAATTAGCAGCAAATCTGCTTTGGATTTACTCCAGCTTGGTGGTGCTGGAGCAGTTGGTGCTTAGAGATCCATTGGAAAGTTGAGCTGAATAAAGCAATGGTAAAGGCTTAAGTTCTGGCCTTTGCCCATATTGATAGTCCAAAATACAACATTGGTGCCAGGAGGCAGCTGTAAGTGCAGAGCTGGGCTCCAGTGCAGTCTGGCAGGCTGTGCTCACTGTGCCCCTCTGAGTACCACCGTGATCAATTGTCCACGCACCATCTTGGTCCTCTGCCTGTGCTGACTCTCCAGCCAGCTTTTCTGCTATCACAGCAAGGATTGTCTCTGCATGGAAATCAGGGACTTGATACAATCGTGCTGTTGCACCCAGAAGTGCAAAATGGCTTCCATCCACTTTCATCCCACTGCCTGCAAAGGAAACTAGGAACAAGCAGTGCTCTTCCCCTGTCGCCCCACCCAAAAACAGTGGCTGTGTGTAGCAGATGACATACAGGACAGGCTGCCTGGTGCTCCCAGGCTGCTTGCTGCCTGCAATAAATATACAGCAGTTAGCCCACAGTAGTTCTTGTCTCTCCTTTGTGGGTAGCCTGCCTCATGTTATGATCCGGAGCAGGGTGGATAAGTAAAAGGGGGATAGGAATGATACTTTGAATGCTCTTTTCTAGTGACGCCACTTCAGATTTCAAGATTGACCATAACTAGCCTGATATGGCCCTCCATTCATATTGAATATAGATGTGTATATCTGCATACCTGTGCAGTGACATCATTTATGTCAGTGACAGTGATACATCAGTGACATCCGGATTAGCTCGCATCCGAATATTTTTGATTTTACAGTTCCTCCATACTTTGTAGAACATGCAAGGTAGCATAAAACCCCTACAGAGTCTATAGCAGTTCATCTAGATTCTGTGCAATATTTATACTCAATACTTTTAGACAGCTCAGATGTTTTCATCTACACTTTAGAAAATGAGCTTTTGAGTGCAAGACATGAAATTTTTGATCGACAGTGCTTTTGATGGCAAATGGGTTTCATAAGAAATGCGTTTATCATCTGAATTTTCTTCTACCTTGTAAATTTATCATCAAGAGAGTGTGTTTGCCAACAATTTGCATCTATATTTACATATTTTTATTCTCAGTTCGCATTTGGAAGGCTTTTTTATCACAACTATCTAGACTAGAAATTGCATTTTTCCACAAGAGAAAGCTTAGACGTTGTAGAGTTTGCAAACAAGTACATTTGATGACAAATAAATTTCACCTCAGCATCTCTGAAATACAGCCAGTGGGTACCTCTGAAATAGTAAATATTCATAATGCTTGGAAAATAACAAAATCCATAAACTACTACTTTCCCAATAGTATGCTAAACTGTACGTGCCCTCAGCTGCCTGCTGTCTATAATATTTGAAGTAAATGGAAACAGAGACACTGTCAGATTTAGAGGATCAGGTATCACTATTCCATGGTGGTTGCTCCTTGGGGATTCACCTGAGCCCAGCAGGACTCAGTTGCTCAGGCTTGGTGCTCACAGGAGGCAGCTGGAGGTCTTTCCTCAGAAAGTTACAGAGATGGGACATTACAGAGATGAGACAAGAGAGGCACATGCCCACCTGAGGAGCTTACTCCTGGGGTAGCATGTCCTGCTGGGCAGCACTGTCTCCCAGTGAGTGTGAGCCCTGTGGCACTATGAGCCTGCAGCTGGCTGTGGCACCTATATGGACCTGGGAGCTGGCGCCGTGTGTGCAATTTTCAGGTTTACACAAGGAGATGGTGCCCAGCTGGGGGTGGCTGGGAGAGCATTGGATACTGAGGAAAGCAGTGAGCCAGACAGCAGTGAATTCTCTGAAGCAGTGCCAGTTTTCATCCATATGTAATCTTGGCTGGGAGACTGGGTTGCTGCCTGCTCTGTGGAGGGATGTCTTGCTGGGATATGTAATGCTCATGTCTGACCTTCTCCTCATAGTGAACTCACAGATGGCCATTGGTCTGGAGCGCAGAGAGGAGCCAGGATGTGGGAATGCCCAGAAAGGCAGACCCTCTTCTGACCCTCAGCAGCTGTTGCTCAGTGCACTCGCATGGCTCAGCAGCGACAACTGGTAAGAAAGTCCCCTGTTCCCTTTTTTTCCCTCTCAGAGTAAAGGCAGGTTAGAAGTGTATTTTTCTAGTGCCTCAGAGCCCAGACAGCCCAGAGGTCCAAAGGGGACTGACTAGTGAAACCACTCCAGAGCAGTCAGAGTATAAAGACTTGAGAGTAGCCTTTTATTGGCCTTGGTCTGCAGCAGGTCCAGGCTATTTCCTAGTTTTGCTCTCTGTTCCATGTAGCTGCAAGTGCAATCTGTAGGGAAGAGGGAAAGCTGCAGAACAAGATGATCTGCTGGCTGAAGCCAGAAGCAGGATGGAAGCAGTCTTGAGTTTAGAGATTAGGGTGCCTCAGGTCACTGGCCCAGGTGAGACTGAGTAAGGATTTGTCTCTGGTCCTGCTGCTGGCAGCAGTGGCAGAAGACAGGGTCTCCCTATGATCTCCTGCATGTCCCAGACACACCTACAGGGAGTTCCTATTTCTGAGGAGTGGACTGAGTTGTGGTGCAGGATTGCTCAGCCTATCATTTCTCCTGAAGGGCTCAAGGAAAGACAAGGAAGACAAGGAAAAAGAAAAAAACATCTTTAGGAATCTTGCACTTTTAGAATTCAATTTTTTGCTTCTCACTGCTTAATGTGGGCCTGAGATGTCTTGTCAATAGTCACAGTGTGTCCTGCAGTTAGACACAGACAGGAGTAGACCTGTAGAGGCCCAGCAGTGATGACTTAAAAGTTTCATGTGATACTGGTTGTCTTTTAGATTTCTGGCTTAGCGTCTGCTCACTAGGACTCCATTCACACTGGGATAACTGTGAAAAATCTTCCGTGATGCATCTCCTAGAGCAACTGTTTTGTTTTGTCCCTCTCCCATTTCTGTTTGGTGCCCTGTGAGATGCAGAGAGCTGCTGCAGGTGTGGGGGATCTGGGTTACACTCAGGGACCCCCGTGGGATGAGTCTTGAGTCCTGTGCTGCAGCCCCGATGGCTGGGTCATGTACCTTCCTGTAGCTCAGGTCCTGCACAAAGCAAGTGCTGATAGAGGCAAGTTTTTGCACCTTTTAAATAATATGTTGCTGTTGTGGGTGCTATTTTAAGTAGGGATTTTCTGGAAAATCCAGCATTTCTGCTGTTCTTGCCCGGGTGTGAAATCTTTTAGGACATACTGCTGCTTTATGGGGAGTGTGTGGGGTGGGGTGGATTGGGGGACAAACAGGACTAGATTGCAGAGTGGAAATTCAGCTATGGAGAGGCAGTGTAAACTCTCACTCTTGAACTTTGCTGGGGATGGCAAAGAAGGAAAATACCCCAGTAACACACTGACAGGATTGTGTCTCAGGGACAGGTACAGGGAGGGTGCAAGGAACAGAAGCATGGCATGGTCTCACAGCTTCTAGGAAGCAGTGACGTAGGGACTTCATGTGCCAGAGATTTCAGAAAGGCTGTCTTGTTAAATCACCACAAATTAATCCATCCAATCTGAAATCCATCTATTTGCCTTTTGGATTTGTGAATGCTTTTGACAGCCACAGCATCCTATGGCAACGAGTTCCATGATTTAATTAAGAGCTGTATGAAAAGCACCTCCCTTTGTTTGAGCCATAACCCTGGTCATTTCAGAGGATGCAGCCCATTTCTTGGGTGGAGAGAAAAATCAATCTTTTTGGTTATTGCTTTTCAGGGAGCTGAAGGAGAAGGGACTCCTCAGCATCAAATGCCTGGCTATCTCCCATTCAAAAGTCCTTCTTTGTAGACTTCGTGAGGTTTCCTTGGCAGTCACCAAAGAGGTAAGAACACTGCTGAATTTTGTCCCACATACATGGTATGTAGAGTGGATATGTGCTTGTTCATCTACATGTGTGCTCCGTGTCTCCCTTCATTACTATTTTTAGACCTTATTTTTCTAGTTGCTGTCACAATTGATCTGTCTGTACATATATCTATATTTAGTGGTATGTAGGGTATCTGACGCTCTCCTCTTTGAGCTAGGTGCCATTATAATGCAATATACAAATACAGAAACTGAGACACTAATTAGGTTATTTGCCACACCCCAAATCTCTGCCCAAGCTGCAATTAAACACTGAAGCTTTTCCCTCCCATCTTTCTCCCACGTTCTCTTCCTCCGCAGCATCCTGAGGGATTGACTGCAGGTCTTTATTTTCCAGTGTATCCTGCTGATGGCTTCTTCTTCCTTTCTGTGTGCTTTTATGTATTTTGCCCTTTTCATTTGCACAGTGGCCCAGCTGTGGGATTTGCAGGGCAGTTGTACATGTCTTCACTACATCATCTCTCAGTTAGCAGAGAGGTCTCAACCTAAGTTCCCTAATACCATCTGCGGCTCTATTTCCAACTTGGCACTTCTGTGGCCTGAACCAGCTGCTACACAATTTCCAAATAGATAAAATTTTCCTTTGCTTGCAGAAGATAGTAGGACTTCACTCATATCCGTGAAAATCAGTCCTTCTCTCCAATATTTAATGATGTTGGAGGCTTGAATGCCCCTTGTGTTGTTGGACTCTTCAAACCTGTCTGTTTAGATATGTAGGACTGGGATTCTCCCGCTCTGAGATCATCAGTGTTAGGAGTAGAAGCCCTTTTAGCTTAGCTCATCTGATTTTTATATCACTTTTATATTTCGGAGGAAATTTCATCCTCTCTGTTCTACACACTCATATGCAGAGACATCTTTCAACTTTCATTTCACTCCAGTTCCAGATTTTTCTCTCACAAGCACTTCTAGCACTTTGTTGTTAATTTTTATTAGGAAGCACAGCTAAGTGTGGGAGAAAGAATCACTGGTCTGTCCTTCAAAGTATCTTTCAAAATGAAGCACGTGACTCTCAGACGCTGCCTCCTTAACCTTGTGGGAGAGCCTTTTGGAAGCGGGGATTACTCCAGGTTCTAATGGAGCAGCACTGAAAGCTGTGAAACCCCACTGATGGCAGCTGTAATTGCATGAGATCTCCAGGAACCATGAGTGCCCTGAGGCCAACAGCTAGGCTTCTCCTGAGTAGAAAGAGCCGTAGATGCACTCAAGTCCCTGCAGCAAATTATTCTGCAGACTTGAGCCTGTGCTTTCTGTTTCCTGGCTGAGTGCTTAAGATGCTGGTGTTGCTTTTTTGAACAGGAGAAAAGTCCTACTTTTTTTTTATCGTGTCTTTATGAATTGTGCTTTTATGGTTTGAAATCAGCCCTTGCTTTCATTTGTTTGTTTTTATAATAAAAGGGCCTAAAATCAAAGCAGTGTACACCATGAGTTTAATAGCACACTTTGTTTAGGTGTAACAATATTTTATAGGCTTGCAGTAAATGGGCCTGAGGCCAGAGAAGAAGTTGGCATCAGAGTAAGTGCCTTTCTGCACTTGTGGTTTTCTGCTCTTACTGTGCTTTTATCTTCCCCTGGACACAGTGAGAAGTCTTGTAGTTCTCTGTGACTTTTGTCTAGGGGAACTGATTTTCTTTACAGTGTGATTATTGTTTCCCCTCATGACTCCCCCAGGTGACCAGCCTCCGCTCGAAGGTGTCTCACTCTGCAATCGTTGCTCTTGGAGAGCTCTTTGTGACCTTGAAGAAGGACATGGACTCTGAGGTGGATGAGGTTGCTCAGGTCTTGCTCCAGATGGTTTGGAACTCCCCAGAGTTCATTCAGAAAGCAGCCAGTCAGACCCTGGGTGTCATGGTGGAGAATGTGACTCCTTCACGAGCAATGACTGCTCTCATGGACAGCGGAGTCCAGTATGTTGATCTTTTCCAAATTATATCTTTCACCTTATATTGTGTGGGTGGGGGAAGGGATGAGAGAAAGAAGGGAAATGATGGGAGGGAAGGGTCTTTTATTCTGTATCTTCTGTGTACTTGATGACTAGATACTCTGATCAACCTCATTTCCTTCCTCTTGTCTCCTACTTCTCTCCTCAACAGCCTATTTGTTCTCACAGTCTGTCAGCATTTTTTAGACGTGGTAAATGGTGGAGAAGTGAAAGTCCCTGCAAAGGCTAGGGATAGAGCCTTGTGGTTTTGTGGGAAGAGGGACAATTTCAATTCCAGCAGTGAGCGCCCTTTGATATTTCACAACTAACCACAGAGGTGCTGGGAAAAACCATGCATCATCATTATGCCATTAACTCGAGAAATAAGGAGGGTAATTGCTGGGACATGGAGTACACAGGGGAGGACGTGCTGGGTGTGGCACAGCCTGCACGGCAGGCGTAGCTCCTGCCAAGAGGAACCTTGTATGATTGTCCTGTCCTTAGAGCTCTACTTTCTATTCAAATGGATGCTTCATGTTAGACTTGAGATGGTGAATCACTTTAAAGGCGCCTTCACAGGCTGACTCCCATGGGATAGCTGAACCAATGCTGCCTTAAAGTATTGGCACTGTGCCTGCTAGTTTCCAATAGGCACCATCTAGAACAGGACAACCTGGCTAAAATGACTGCCACCCTTTCCTCAGCTTTGGAAAAGGGTAAAACTTTCAAACTTATCTCTTGCCAAGCCTCACAGAACGAACTGGCTGCGTTGCTGGATATTCTGCAGCTTCACGCCCTACAGTGTTTTTTCCCCCCACTCCAAGGGTTTGCAGATTTGGAGATAAATGGTGGAATAAGCCTCAGTCCTGCTGCAGCTCTGTCTGTGTAGTGGGTCCCCTCTGATGGGTCAGCATGAATTGTCTTTCATTTCCCTCTTTCTCTGAGTTAATGTTGGTAAAGAAATTGGGTCCAGGGAGACTGAATTCTTCCCTCTTCCATGCAGGCTGTCCTTTGGTACAATGCCAACTTTGTGTTTGTCTGAGGACAGAATCTTCTACAGGTGGCTAAAATTGCAGTGAGAACACAGGCCTCCTTCTCCCAGGGATGACAGGGAGCCTGCTATGACCAAGGCATGTGTTTCTGGCCCTCCTTTTCCCTCTGCCCCGGTGTTTGCTCTCATTTCCAGGCATCGCCATGTCCTGGTGCGGAAGTGTGCAGCCAAACACCTGCTGACAGTGATGGAGAAGATTGGAGCCAAGAAACTGGCAGCCACACCCGTCAGGGCCGAGAAGCTGGTGCGCCTGGCGGTGAAGCTTGCTCAGGACTGTCACAAGGACACACGGTAATGATCTTCATTTCACCTCCTAAAATACGGAAACTGTTTGATGTCTGGCTGTAAAGGGTAAAGCCACAAAAGAGTGGAAGGTAAAGTAAATATTAAGTTACTTTACTGTGTGGATAAGTTCATAGAATCATAGAATATGCTGAGTTGGAAGGGACCCATCAGGATCATTGTGTCCAACTCCTGGCCCTGCACAGGACATCCCAAAAATCACACCACGTGCCTGAGAGCATTGTCCAAATGCTTCTTGAACTCAGACAGGCTTGTTGCTGTGACCACTTCTCTGGGTTGTCTGGGGAAATGACTGTACTGGGTAACATGAGGTTGCCCAGCAAGGACCACTGCCAAATTCCTGTGACTTGAACGATTCTTTATTGAGATCAAAACAGCTCAGATTAATCAGTCAAAGAATTTTGTTTGGTCTTGTGTGTAATTCAAAGCTGAAATGTTGGCCACTGTTCATCACCGAAGGATCCCGAGCATTTATTTTTCATAAAGTTAAGACTGTCCTTGTAAAATTCCAGGTGTCTTTAACCAATGTATTTGGTCTTTTAAATGTTCTGCAGATTTGTATAATGGTTTTGTCTGTGGCTGAACAACCTCCAGATTTCTTCTTGAAGAGAGCTATAGTTTCCTAGTAGCAAAATCAAACCAAACCACCAAAAGCCCCTTACTTCGATGATTAAATTCCCATTAATAGATGCCAAGAACACACGAGCAACTAGCTGCCCATATGCATATATAAAGTATAGAATAATCAATATAAGCATGAGGTGATTTGTCCTGGCTTGTCTGCCAGTTAAAGAAAGGTAAATTATTGTGCAATGGCAGCAAGACACTGCTAATAAGCTCTGACAACAAAGCAGATGTGCTTTGCTTGTCCCCTGGGATCCTTCAATCCTGCAAAAGCATACCCACAATTTCAGAGTGAAATTGTATTTTTCTGTTGCCCCATGTTCTCCTCTTGCCTCTTGTGTTCATCTGACAGCACCATGAATTGACATGAGGAGGTAAATATCTCTGCTGAATAGGTAATGCCTTCTCATAGAAGTATTGCACCAGATGAGTTTAAAGTACCAACTTATTCTGTTAATACTTTTCCTTTGTTTATTCACAAGAGAGAAAAGACAGTAATAGTCTCTATGAATTTCCCTCTCTCCTGTGTTAGGTATTATGGATGGAAGATGCTGCATATGTTGATGAGTCATCAAAAATTTAATAGGCTTTTGGAACAATCTGTTTCCACACGTGACTTGAAAGATATTCTGGCAAGAATTAAGAATAAAGTAAGTGCTGGCAGGAGAAATGTCTCCTTCATGCAAGTATTGAGATTGCTAATATGAGATCAGATGATAATCTTTGTTTATCTCATTCCTCTTCTGCTGAATCATTTTGCTCCTGGGAATGAACTGTTGATCCTCAGCCTGTTTATCTACAGACAACAAAGGAACAAATATTATTAGAAATACAGTGGGGCTTTGAATATTTTGAAAATCAGCCACAAACAGGAAAGGGAAATAGGAGAAAATATGTTTACATTTCAGCATAACACCCCCCTTGTCCCTCCCTTGCCCCCAGTAAAGCAATTAAGGGAGAATAGTGCTTCTGAAGATAATAGAGTCTTTGCAAAAGATGAAGGAAGTAGTAGTGCCAAGAAAATTTCCAAACACACAAAAGATGCACAAGGCAATCATAATTACTACAATTATTGTCTGTCTTCTGGGAATACTGCCCTGCTGTCATGCCCTGTGGAGCTGGAAGAAGCTTGGTGAATTCAGCAGCATCCAGTGGAAAATCATGTTTGTTTTTTGGTTTTTTTTTGTTCCTTTTCACTTACATTCACATTCTGGAAAGGAATGTCCCTTTGTGCAGGAATAGGGAGAGTGAGTGTGAACCAAATCAACTCCCAACACAAGGGGCCAGCCTCTAGAGAGTCCAAAGTTTTCTGCTCTTCCCTTTAAGAACTCTTGTTCCCTACCAGTTTGCATTATTCCCATTTATGCTCAAGACTAATGAATTCAGGATTTTATACTGCTGCTCATTATGGTAGCGCCTATAACCTACCTTGGGTTACTGAAAACAAATAGCTGGCATCACTGAATCTCTAGCCTGTCTCCTTCTGTAAGTTAGGAAATATTTTCCTAAGCCTTTCCTGGTAGCAGTGATCCTGGTTACAACTTGTGTTTTAAACGAGTAATTTCTTATTTTATCTTATAAAGACTCACAGTTTTTTATATGTCTCTGTAGGGGATAGAAGACCATGAAGGTGAGCCTCCACCAGTTGAGAACCCCAGGAAGAGGAGGAACAATGGCTTGATGCCCCAGGCTAGAATGCCTTCTTGTGGAGGGTACTGAGCACTTCTGATAGATCTGACAAAGCATATGACAAGCTTTACATGTCTCTTCCTCAGGAAAATCTTTCTGGTGGAGATGCCCTGTGCCCGAGACTGTTGCCTTTCCCTACAAATCTTCTATGATAAAAAATGTCTAGTTCTGCCTTACGCTGAACACAACTCTTTGGAAGGGTTTTCCACAAAAATTCAGAGAGACAAAGAGACATCCTCTGGTTGCAGCTCAGAAGATCCCGTGCAGTGGTGATGAGAGCAGTGTTGTGGAGGCTGTGAGAGGGTCATGCTGCCTGACTTGGGACAAGTAATTTGAATCACGGGAGTTTTTTATCTGAGTGGAGTCTTTTTTAGATGGGTGGTTTGATGAGAAGTCCCAGTCTAGAACCAAGATGCCATTCCCAAAAATAGCACTTCCCATGCACGTGGTTTGGCCTGGAATCGTGGTTTGGCCTGGAATCTTGGTTTTCTCACCTTCAACCAGTACCAAGTTCGAGTAGTAAGTAGCAACTCAATTTCTGAGCAGTTCTGGTCGACAGATTTCTCAACATGGAGTTTTTCTCTAGATATTCATGTCATTCCTGCTGTTTGGTTGTTGAAGAGAATGTTGTTTTTCTCCCCCCTCTGCTGTGCTACAATCAGCATTCAAGACAGGAATTTGGTCCTTGCTGTCTCCTCGTGCCAGTGGGAGAGCTACTTGTACCCATTCTCCTCTGATAACAGAGGGGATTTATTTACGTTATGCTCAGCAGTGGTAGAAAGAGGACCACATGCCTCACTAGCATAGTTAGTCATTCCTTCCATGGAAGAGAGAGGTTGATCCAAGAGAATTGTTCCCAGTGGGTTTGTTAAGCTGTAGATCCAGTCTCTAGGGAAGCAATAATGTGAGTATAGTGATGGGATGCCTGGCTTCTGGTTTTGTCTCTGTTACTGATTTTCTGGATCCTTCAGATATGCCCCTACTCATCTGTTTAGATGCATCTGAGTTATTTTTCCAGATTGCCATACCCTAGTGCAGAGAGACTTCTCCAGAGTAATTAATATCCTGATTATAATGCAGACACCTCCCATATGATGAAGCATTTAAACTTTGAAGTAGTGTCTATCTTTCCCCACAAAGCAATGCTAGATGTGTACTTGGGTAGACATCTGAAGATGTCCTTGGTTTTCCTGAGTAAGCACTAGCGAGGATGTTACTTGCAGATTGTCTCCTATAATTATTGTCATGAGATCTAAGTTGTTTTTCAGGTCAGGATCTAGCTGAAATCACATAATAAGGAAGCCTCCTCAAGAGGTTTTCCTCTTAAGGAGGAAAGATGTTATCACCAACAGGTCTTGTTTTTATTTTCCAGTTTGGAGTCTACTTCTGATGTACCCTTCTTACACCGTTCAAAAGTTCATCTTATGTTACTTCCAACTGTAGAAGAAACAGAGCTGCTCCAGAAGCTTTATGATCTCCTGACTGCCAAAGAGTTTCAGATACGAATGGAGGGAGTGGCACTCCTCCTAGATCTCTGCAAAAGCAGCCCCAGGCTCATCTCCAATAACATTGTCCAGGTATGTGGGGTATCTCCACTGCTAATTTGCTTTAGCTCCTTTCCCAAGCCTGTAGCATTGAAGTTAATTCAGTGTGTCTTGGTGCTACATCCTGGTTGTTTGAGACAGGCTAGTCCCTCTTACCCAAAATAATTTAATTCAGCTCCAGGCTTCAGGACAAGTAATTTCAGTCCAGATGTATTTCTCTGACAGGTGCCTATTGGTGCTGTTCCTGAGATGATGACAGAATTTACTGTTGCTGTAGCTTCTGCTGTCTCCTACTCCCAGTTGGGTTCAGTAAAGGAAATCCAGCCACTGAAAACATGGCAATTACTCTCTAGACAAAAATGGAGTGGGATGGTAAAGAGAAGTGTCAGACATGGCAATTACTCTCTAGACAAAAATGGAGTGGGATGGTAAAGAGAAGTGTCAGGTTGGGTTGGTTTAAAAAATTTTTTTTTTAAAAAGGATGCTCCTGTGAACTCTGTCTTGTCTTGCACAGGCACAGCTCTGCCTACTTGTTCCTGTCCTCGTCCTTTTTCTTCTTGGGAAAGGCTGTTCTTATCCTTCCTGGGGCGCATTTTTTCTCTTTGGAAAGAGGACGAAAATAGCTAAAGACAGAACCTCTCTTCCTTCTCCTCCCAGTAGCTGCTTTTTCACCTTTTCCAGAAAATGGTGCCTGATAATGTGGCTGTAAAGGGACTGCACCTGCTCTAAGGAGAGCTGCACAGCACATTAAACTTCAGAAGTCTACCTGTTAGTTAGACAAATGGTCTGGATCCTGAAGAGTTGATCAGAGCCCTGCACTTCTCCAGACACAGGCTCTGAAACAGATAAAACAAAACGTGTGTTGTATCTCAGCCAGCCACAGTTTTGCCAAAATCAAAATTACCCTCAGTACTTGAGGCAACTGTATGGAAAAATGGTTTCATACTTCTATACCAAGGATATTGTTTTTCATTAATCAAATGGGATTAATTTAATGATTTATAGGTGAAGAGAAACATCATAGGAACTATTCTGTCCCCACCCAAACCTCTTAAAAACATATGAAAATCCCTCAACCAGCATGAGGTTGCTCAACCATTCCAGTGAGTAGCCCACAGGAAAACAGCAAGCACTGACCTGACAGAAAGGATTACTTTCATCTTTTACATTGCTGAGTACTCATTTCTACACCCCTTCTTGAAACAAAGACACTTTAGTACAGCTTTCATGTCTTTTGTTTTCTTTACAGATTTTTGATTATTTTGTCTTGAGGATTTGCGATTACAACAAGAAAGTGAAGCAGCAGGCGCTGGAGGCGCTGGCTTTGATGATAGCCATGCTCAGAGATGCCTTAAACCCAGTGCTGATCCGTCTGGTGGAAGCAATCACCAACAATCTGAACTCAAAGCACTTGGGGATTTATGGTGCAGCTGTGAAAGCACTGGAAGCATCCATTGCTCACTTAGGTAAGGCTGACCTCTGACTTTGACTGTCTTCAGCTGTGGCTTCTCCCTCTCAGGTTGAAATGAACGTTGACTCTGCACACAGCTCTTGTTGTCTGTGGAAATATCCAGCTGGTATCCACCCAAAGCAGTGGTGCTGCAGTCCTTATGCACCGATCCCCAAATAGGCTTGAATGTGTATCAGCATTTCCCCAAAGTCCCAGGAGCCTTTGGCTCTGTGCTGCTTGTCTGCTTTGGTACAGAAGGAGCTGAACAATAAATCCTGGACTACAACTTTGCTAGAATTCAGGGACAAAGGGATTTTTGGAGCTTGCTTGAGCCCAGTTTGACTTCCTAAATGAATTGCTTTGCTGTTGGCATGAAAGTACACTGGCCCATCAAAGCTTCTGCAGAGCAGCCTCCTGGAAGGCTCTACATTATAGGCATTAGCTGGTCCTGTCTATTTTTCACCTTTCTTCTTTTTCTTCTTTTTTCAAAATGAATTTATGATTTGCCGAATTCATTTCTTTAGAACAAACAGGTATAAATCCAGCTGTAAATGATGGCTTGTTCCACACATTGTTCTGCATGGGGCAAGATCACTACAGCAAATAACTACATAGCCAAGGTCTGCTGTAAATTCCTTTGCCACACAGATTTATGTCAGCTGTGAAAATGCAGCACTGGGTGAATATGTCTGAAAAATTTAGTGTTGAAGAGGCAGGCCTTAAAGGGGAGTTACCAACTTTCTACACATCGGCTGCTTTGCAAACTCATTGAATTTGCTGACTCACTGCCTTTCTGTGTCCCAAGTGTAGGGTTATTTCTGTTCATGAAGTGGGGAGAAGGGTGTGAGACCTGTACTGCTCTTGGCCCTTATCCATTTTTTTGTGGTGCACGGGAGAAGTCTTGGAAAAAGCTGCAGAATCCTGCTAACAGAGGATGTGGCAAACAAATCCCTTCACGGTTTTGTATGGAGCTTTCTGTCATTCCTCTCTCACCAATACTGAGATCACTATAAATTTTCCATGGTGGCAGATATCAGAACAGGAGCAATGCACATCTGTCTCTCATCACAATGACTTTACCCAGGGATAGGTTCAAGCAAACAAGGTGGAATGTATTTTTTTTCAGTTCTGCACAGTTTTATGGAAGTTTGCAAGAATTCAAACAAGCAACTGAATCACAAATATTTCAAAATTCATCGCCTAGGGCTTTAGTGGGGGAAGGAAGTCTCTACTGAAAAAAAGCGTGAGAGAAATCTCCCCATGTACTTTAAAACTGGCTGCCTTTACAAATTAAACACAAGTGCCAAATGACAAGAAACCTCCCAAACTCTAAAGGATTGTGCAACACTCCTATCTTAGGGTAAGTGAGCAAAGCACACAGTCCTACCCCGTTGCTCCACTGAGCTTCACAACTAAAAGCCCAGCTATTGCTCTGAGGCTCTGAGCCTCAGATGCTGAGTTTTGGGTGAGACTTCCTCATCTGTCCTGCCCTGTCCTTTGTCTTGAAAGAAATGCCTATCAGATGGCCACTGCCTGATGTCAAGACATGGAGTCAGTCCAGCAGCCCACATAGCTCCCGGAGCAACCAGCCCTCTGCAAAAGGGGAAGGGAAATTTCCCCTGTAGGTGTTGAGGTAGCAGAGAGGTGTCTGCAGCGAAAATGAGGGCACGGAGAAGTAGATTCTTCTTTTACTCCTATTGCAAATGCTGGGCCATCTGTCCTGCGGCCCACAGGTTTAGCTAATGTGCAGAGCAGAGAGTTAGAGCTGAGTTCATAAGAACTGAGCTGCCTGCCACCTCGTTTTCTCTAATGGCCATTAAAACTCCTCTGTCTTCAGGTCTCTCAAGGCCGCTGAAGCAGCAGTTGGGTAAATTGTGTTATTGACTTGAGCTTTATTGTTTCAAAATGCACGGGGCACTTGAAAACCTTGAAATGGAAGGTGAATAGTGGCTACACACTTGGATTCCTAAGAACCAAGCAGACACGCCCAAGCCCTGAGTGTTCCCCCGATAATCCATGTAGATACCAATATTAATGCTTAATTAACAGTTTGTACTCCTTCAAGATCTCCAGATCTCAGGGTAGTTTTTCTTCCCAAGCAGCAGCTGCAAGGTAACTCTCTCAGGGGAGGAACAGCAAAGGTGAAACAATGGCTGCCAATACTGCAGGAGCGTGAGACAAAAAGTGAAGTGTCTGTTTAAAAAGGTGAATGAGAAGAGTGTAATTACCAAAGCAGAAGCTTAATTAGGGTAGCAGGATTAGTTCTTTACTGCATGCTTGCAAGAAGATCATTAGGGACTTCCTTTTTGTTATCACATGCAAAAGAGGAGCTCTTAATAATACACTGCTACTGAAAACCACTTTGGGATTTACCTCTGTTGTGGTTCACAAAGAAGTAGGTTGCCTGCTTTATCACTCCTGGTGACAGGGCATCGACACGGTGACATGAGGTATCGCAGTGCATCCCACGCACATTCTGTCTCCAAGAAAAGCTTTGCTTGGCTTATTGGAGTGGTAGGACTGCAGGCTTGCAGACCAAGTCAGGCAACAGTTTATAAATTCAAACAAGACCCTCATATCAGCAACAGACAGCACAGGAAAAACAAAATACATATGACAGTCAAGTACTGGGAAGTCAGTTCATTTTCCAATCTCTCTACCAAGATCTGATTTCACAGATGTACAGGAGCCCCCAGTAGTGGATGGCAATGAGCAGTAAGTTCTCTTGTAAAATTAACTTGGAGTCTTGTCCATAGATCCCAACAGGTAACTTGAAGATTTAAAAACAGCTTATCTTTAAAGGGAATGGATGTGTGAACTTTTGAGCCATCTCACCCTTTTCCTCAGGGAAGGGAGGAGATCACTTCTGCAAAGCTCTGGCATGCAAAACCTTGTCACTACTTACATGTGATTTGAATTTTGAGGTCCCTGATATGAAATGTTTAACACAGCTCCTGGTACAGCAGACCACTTTGGATTTACAAATGTGAAATGAGAGCTTTTCTTTTTGAATTTAAAATCCTCTCAAGTAAGAAGGAAAGAAGAAAAGGACTCGGAAACTGGCAGAAACTTACTTTATTTTACAAAATTCAGTTGTCTCTGCTCTTTCCCTCCCCACCCTCCTTTCTCGTATGTCCTCAAAAGAATGAGCAGAAATAAATGTTTCTCTTTCAGATAAAGTATCGGTGCTGAAAGAGTTTAGCAACCGAATGAGTCAACTGAGTGGCCAAGCTCTGCTGGATGTCACCGAACGTCTCTCAGGTATCGCCTGCTTCAGCTAATATCCACTTCTAAGCCAAGAAGTCTCCAGAGGAAATATTCAGAGGGATTGCCTGTGAATAGACAGTACAGTAGCTCATCAAAATCTGAGCTTGTCCCTCCTGCAAAATACACATAAGAGGTGTATTTGGCAGTTTTTTGCCTGGCTGCTACAGAGGCTGTGTGAGATGAGAGCAGTGCTCAGGCTCAGGGCTGAGCCCTCACTGGGGCATCTCAGGACCCTCCTTCAGGAAAGAAGGGGGCTAAAAATACCCTAGATGGCTCCTCCCTTGGAAGGACAGTACAGTAAAGGTCAGGGAGGTCTGTGAGAGCAACCTTTTCTAAAGCAAACAACCATCCTTTAGGAAAAATGGTGGCACATGGTGTTTCTGGGGATCTGTCCTCACAGAATTCTTGTTTTCCTCTTGGAAACTTTTGAGGCTGAACCCTGCAGTGCTTGGTAGCTTAAAACTCAACACACATATTACAAGGCAAGGATTTTGTGCAAGGTAGGATTTGGGGGTAGAAGCAGAGTGCTGAGCCTCTCTGCCTGTATTGCAAAAATGGCATTGGACTCTGAGCATTTCAGGATGTGCAAGCAGCCTGTTTCTATATCAGCACTGTCCGACATGCTACAAATGCAGCTGATAATTGATTTATATTTGTAGCTTGCTACGTCAGCAACAGCCAAGGAATGGAAAAGCGATAGTCTCAATATATACTAGAGAAGACTATTTATAGCTTTGCTTTAATTACGGCTAAATCCACTGCTAATTATGCCGGCATCTTTTAATGCAAGGTTTAATACACTTTGCTTCTTCATTAGGAATCTCAAAAGGGCATGTTCAGCCATAGCAAATGTAAAAGGGCCTTTAAAGATAATTCGAATAAAGTAAATCTCCAGAAATGGAGAATTTAGTTTTGCAGTTATTTAAATCTCTTTTTTCAAATGAAGTATTTGAGCATAAATTAGGACTACTTTAGAAAGAGCAGATGTTCTCTCTGGGATTTAGTTGGAACAAACAGCTCCTTCTCTTCTGAAGTCTCATAGTGACCGATGTCTTTAATTGCATTTAAACTCAAATTAACTCCCAAGTTAAACTGGGTACCATAACCCTTTTCCTGCTTACCAGAAGTGGAATGACTGCTGCTAGATTAACCGCATAGAGAAAATGAAGATTCTTCCACCACAGAATAATAAATGGTAACTGCATAACATTTCAACTGAACAGAAAATAAGAATGGTCTTCAGACCATTTCAGATTTTGATCTCTCAGCAAAATCTGCCATGCAAGGAGCCTATTGGTAGTAAATTTTTGTTCATATTTAATATAGTTCAGTTCAGAAAATGAGCAGAGAGCAGACTTCAGAGAGAATGTGAGAGAACGCTTGTTTTTTGGTTAAATTTCAGCCCCCTGTGTAACATTTTTTTTTCTCTATTCCGCTATTTCAGTGCACATTGGGAGAGTAAATGCCATTAACATTGTGAGGGTAAATGCCATTAAAATTGTGAGATGCTCAAATGCCATGGCAATGGGGTCTAGGCAATTATCTAAGACACCCTGAAGTTTGAAACAGCTGTTCATTAGAAGCCACAGAATATGAGGGAAAGAAAAAGCTCAGATTCGACCATTCTGCCAAAGACATCAGTTAGTCACTGATGTTTCTAATAAAACTGTCAAGCAGCAGCCATCTTTTATGGGCTGGAGTTCTGAAGTGTGGTCTAATACTGCCCTTTGCTGTGTGCCACTGAGCAAAGGGAACCGCCAGATTAGACTTTTGGCATTTTACATCAAAGGTCACAAAAAAGTAATCATCCCTTTTATTAGAAATCTTTCAATTACCTCTCTAAGGTGCATTTCAAAATCTTCAGCAGTGGATTTAGACAACTTCTTAATGGAAATAAACAGCAATTTGACATTTCGGTCATTTGTCATGCAGAAACAGACAGTGAAATGATTGAACAAATGTATATGATTCACTTTGCTAAGTCTGTCACAGATACAAGGCCTCTGATTTAGAGAAATTAGTCCTGGGGGGTTGGTTGTTCTGTTCAGTGGGTGATCAGCTGCTTTGCCCATTTCTGGGTCATCGGGCTCTTTGTACTTGCTGATCTTAGCCAGAAAAGGCTCCCAAGAATCAAAAATGCTGGTAGGTGCCTGTTTGCATGAAGGTTGGTTGTTAAGAAGCTTGTCCCTCTTGCCCTGCAGTGCTTGTGGCACGTGTTTATCCCAGGAGCCCTGAAGTTGTCCAGCGCTACGCGCTGCCCGTGCTCTGGTCCTTCCTGGGGAACAAGGTCCCGCCCGTCCGAAGCGCCAACGTCAGGACTGTGGTCGCCAAGCTTGCAAAGGCCCTGCATGAAGCGATGGGCTCCAAGCTGAGGCAGCACGCTGCCAGCCAGCCCCAGAACGTGGTGAAAAACCTCTCCAACATTTTGGGCTGGAATGTCAGGTGAAGGCTGGGTATGCTCCTGGAAGCTGGCGAAGTGCTGAGTTGGACAGGTGGAGGCAAAGGTGGACGTGGCGGCAGCAATAGTTTTATTCTGCACGTCTGAAGAACAAGGGGCTTATCCTATAGACTTTATAGCTACAGATGTACATAGTATTTTGATATTTAGATGTAGTTTGGAATAAATGTGTTTTGGTTGTATATTTTTTTATTTTGATTATATATTTTTGATTGTATATATTTCATTTTTATTATATTTTTAAATTTAACAAAATAATAAAATAATTTAAAAAAAAAAAGAAGAAGAGATTGAGGCAGCAGGACCTGGTAGCCTAGAGGATATGTGGTGAGGTTATTGAAATGCATCTCACTGTATGTGCTAGTGTCTCACCATGTCCTCTCCTCATTGAGCCTCTCCTCTTCTTCTTTTGACATGTCTTTGTGTCATTTGTGCTGCTATTTGTTATTTGGCATTTCAGTGGTGCCACTTATTTACATGCTTGGGGGACAATGTACCCAAAAGATTCTGTACAGTCTAAAGTTTTCTAATGAGATGTATTCTGTGCTCACAATAGACCCGAGCAAAGAAACAAAGAAAACTTGGCCCAAATCCCAAAGCTTTGCCCATTTGCAATCTGAGACATCTCTGGCTCACAGCTGTCCTCAATCACAATTTTATATGTAAGAAGAGGACACATATTTCACTGGGAAAAGATGCACTGCTTTGGAAAACACATATATATGTATATTTATCCAGGATAGCAGTCAAGTGATGTTGTTTGTAACTTGTTTGCAGAGGGATGAGTTGACTGTGAGGCCAATAACAGGTGAGAAGGGTTTCTCAGATCTATTTATACTCCAGCCTGGGTGCCATTCAGCCCAGAGCTATGGGATAATTTATTACCATGGACCAGTGCTTGCCAGCATAATGAATTCCTGCATAGCTGGAACAAGCACTTCTGGGTTCAGCTCCAGCTCTTGGTGGACTGCATGATCATTGACAATGCTGCCTTTCAAGAAATTATTTAGTAGTTTCATTTCATAATCATTTGAATCTTTTAAACTTACCTTTTAATTTGCTCCACCTTAGGGAAAAACACTTTACAGACCAGTGCAAACTGTAACATTTTGACAGCAAAGTCTGCATTGTTGCCAGTTTTTGATGTTACAGAAGAAAATGCACATGTACATGTTAATTAGGTTTTCTGGAGGAAAATATCTATTTCATTTGGATGCATGTATTTGCTTAGCTATGGATCTGGTCCTGGACTAGAAAAGCCCAGGCAGAGTAGCATGTTGCAGGGAAGAATAGTCCATGAGCTTATGGGTTTGCCAGCAGAGTAAATGTGTTCTTTTGGGACCAGCTCCCTACCCCCGTATTCTCTCAGATCTTTTTAAAATATCGTAGTAAAGGCAGTGAAACTTTCCACCTACCTGCACACCCACTGTTTGAATAGGGGCATTTTTTGCTCTCCTTAAAGTCATTGCTCTGGCACACCAGAAGAATTTCTTAGTGTTCAAACAAACGTGAACGATGCATGGTCCTCCTGATGGTGCTTCAGAGTCCTGGTAAGTGCTTGGCTTACAAAACTAAATTTAGATATAGGTTGGATCTTGGCTCAGTTTTATGCAAATTTAGGAGGAAAAGAAAAGCCAAGATAAGAAGCTTGAGATAATTGGATATTTTGACCCCTGTGCTAGTTTTCTGCTTAACTTTTTGCAGGATTGGCTTGTCATCCCCAAATGAGTGGGTGGGAAGTAGTCAGCCCCAGTGCTGTTGCTTTGTACTTCTGGAGTGTATCAAGCTCCTGGTAAGCATTGTCCAAAGAACAGAGAAACTCACACAAGTCCTAGTCTCCTTTTTCCTGCAAAGAGTCTAAATTAAACCTATGAAAGGATTCTTAAAATTATGAAGAGTTTATTTACAAGGTTTTAAGTGTTCTAAGTTTATTTGATGAGTACCTTTCTATTTTTACTGGTGTGTAAACAGCCTCTGAAAAGGTCACAACAAGCTTCATTGTGTGTTTGAAGAAGACAGGCTGCAGAAACACTGATCAGCCCAGGGAAACTGGGAATACACCGAGCATCTACATGCCTATTGCACTCCTTGTGCTATGGTGTTTCCAGTGGATGTTTTTCTGTGGAAAAGCTTAATCTAGTTATGTGGGGCTGAAAATGAGGCATCATAGACTTCCCTGGGCTAGCAGAGCTCAGAGGTGCAGTACATGCTTTCTTTCTTCCTCTTTGGGGTATTGGTAGGATAAATAGTTCTGAAGTACTTTTTCAACATGAAGAGCATACTATTGCTTGTAGGTTTTTTTAATTGTCTATGGTGCTTTCTGGGTTATTTCTTTATTTTGCACCTTAAAGGTGGGGGTTTTTGTTTGGTTGGGGTTTTTTGGTTTGGTGCTTTTTTGTTTGTTTTGTTTGGTTGGTTTTTTTACCCTGTTATGAGCTGTTGTTGCTATGTGGACTAAAAAGGGATTTGTCTAAGACTCAGAGTTAGGTAACTGCTTACCAGCAGTCCTGTCTTACTGTCTGCTCAGTTGCAGAGCACTGTGTGATAGGAAGGTGTCCCTGATGCTCTCTGTTTCCTGGCTTATCCACACGAAAAACTGTGCTACGGAAACCTACTTGTAATCCAGGTCTATTACAATAGTTAGCACATGCATGTATATGGATGTGTTTTCTCTGAATGTAAAGATGAAAGGATCTGCGTGGATATCTGGTTACTGATACAGCCTTCAATGTTCAAAAAAGGTCTGAAAGATGCATTGCCTTATGCCCTGATTGTCCACGTTAACTATATTTACAAGCAAAGAGACACAAAGCTTCAAAGTGGAGGAAAACATTTCAAAAATAAAGCCACTGTATTGTACTGGCAGGTTTGATTTCCAGTTTGGAAGTAAGAGACATTAAACTGATATTAATCATAAGAGGGGCTAAAGCTGCAAGGGAATTGTCCCGTAAGACTGACTCCTTAGAGTCACATTTGAAAGCGAAGCAGCTATTGAACTTGTTGGTTTAGGTTTTATCTGCAGAGTCATCTCTGCCTTGCTATGTATCTTTGTGTGTCTGCTGGAATGCCTGGAAAGTTTTGTTCACAGCTTTACAGTTGCTCCTCTAGGGAAGGGTGGGTCTTTGTTAACATCCTTAGACTTCAGCTTTGGTTCATTCCTATCCTAAGGAGCCAGTGGTTCAGTAGTATTTATAATAAATGAAGGGCAGCCTGTAACACTGAAAGCTTTCAGTTTCTCTTTAATTGCTATACAATCAACTCAACTATGCCTCAAGGAAAACTTTATTAAAGCAGAAGGGATTCATATGGAGTAAGATAGGCTTATCGCCCCTTTTTCTTTGAAATAACCTTGATAAGGGATGGGGTCTGTACAGTCTAACTTCAGAAATCCTCACACTATTGCTTAATGCAATCACATGTTTGTATATTAGTAAAGAAAAAGAACATAACGAGGAGAGGGAAGAGGCCAGATTTTGAAATTAAGAATGTTGGTGAGTGGAGAACAATTAGGGGATGTGAGGGCTGTAATTTTGTGCTAATGGTGGTGGAACAGGATGGGTGCAGGGCAGGCATATGTAAGATGAATGGAAATGGGATAAGAGGAATAATGTGGTTCTGAGTCTTGATCACCTTGTCCTGTTGAGTATTTACTGTCTGTATCTGCACATCTTTCTTTTTGACATTAATATTTTCATTATTCATCCAAAAAGGGCTATAGGCAAGAAATACAAACATGAGATATTTGCTCCCAATTTTCATATGCTTCAGTACACAGTTGTGAGTTTGTATTAACCTTCACCTTTACCTGAGGACAACACGGAACTGAGCCCCTAATTCAGACTGCAGGTATTATGGATCTTGCCCATAGGATATTGCCCAGGAAGATCAAAATCTGAGTTTCAAGTTCATAGCTGTTACATGCATCTCCACATGCTGTAGTCACGATAGCACTGAGTATATTTAATGTGGAAGAATTAATGATTTGCTAATCTAGAGGGTTTTCTCTTCAGGAGATGCTGGCAGTTTCTTACTGATGAGACATGACAGTAAGAACAGTTTACTTTATCTCTGTGTTGTGATCTCTTCTTATAGCAAAGGGGATAGCTTCTCAAAATATTCCTCTTAATGATAAAACTTCATAGATGAATATGAAATGCCTTGAATGTTTAGAGGTGTGACAGTGCAAATGGTGTAATACGCTATGTTTATTGATAACCTGCATAGCATTCTCAGCCATATTGCTAATCACAGAACCACAGAATATTCTGAATTGGAAGGCACTCGCAAAGATCATCAAAGTCCAGCTCCTGGCCCTGCACAGGACAGACCCAACAATCCCACCATGTGCCTGAGCGCATTGTCAGAATGATTCTGGCAGGCTTGGTGCTGTGCCCACTTCCCTGGGGAGCCTGTTCCAGTGCCCAACCACCTTCTGGGTGAAGAACCTTTTTCTATTATTCAACCTAACCCCTCCCCAATACAATTTCAGGCCATTCCCTCGATTTCTGTCACTGGTCCCCACAGAGAAGAGATCAGTGCCTGCCCTTCCTCTTCCCCTCACAAGGAAGCTGTAGATTGCGATGTCTCCCCTCGGTCTTCTCTCCTCTAGGCTTTCTGAGGTTGTTCTTGAAGCCAAAAAAAGCAACTGGAGTGTGTGTAGTGCTTTGGTGTTCTAACCATCTTCAGATGCTGAGGGCTTGAAATGACAGGCCCCTTGAAGGTCGGAGATTTGAGCAGTGTCACTGGAAACAAGGGCAGCTGCCAGCTTGTTAAAGGTCTTCAGATAAACTGCAGCACAGAGCTGTTGGCTGCTCTTTTCGCAGCTCTGAGCCCTGGCTGGGAAACTGATACTGCTTCAGTCCGTGCTCAACACCTCTGCAATCCGACTCCACTGCAGCCAGTGCACTCTGATTTTAACCCTCAGGACGAAGCCACAGCCCCCTGCTTGAGTTAGCTGTGGTTGTGCATAGAAGCTCCACTGAACTGAGTACAAGATTGCCAGGTAGCTCAAGATTAAATCAGGGCAGAGAAGGGTTGGAAGCACAGCTGACCTATGTCAGTGCCCAGGCTGGATCCTGTAGCCTAAAAAAAGACATTTTCTTAATGAAAATGCAACCTAAATTAAGTGATGTACCAGCAAAACACAAAAGAAGACAAACTTATGCTGGGGTG